ATTCCAGAAACTACGTCTGTAATTTTCTTTTTTCCAACTATACAACGATATTTTGATCTTAATAAACCCAACCTAAAAATAATTACTTCGTTATTAAAGAGTCATTTACATCTGGATGTCACTCAAATTTATTGAAAAGTTCTCCAGAATTCCCTGGGTCGAACAATAATGCACTTGTATAAATTTTTCCGGAGGTTGTGCAGTCAGAATTTAGTGAGTGTGAAGAAAACTTCAGTCCACTTCGAAAAAGAATCAATGACTACAAGTGCATAGATGGACCACAATATTCTGCGTGAATTCTCTTCAGGGCCTCAGATGATACTGCTCATGAAGTCCACTTCAAGGGCTGACTTTTGAACTTATGACATTTTCCACATATATCTGCATTTATCTTCCACCGTCAACATTAGAGCCTTACCAAGCATTTCATTTTCTCAGAACCTAAATATCCACTATGGAGATCTCCAAGGACAGGTTTACGCAACGAAAGACGAATAATAACACGACCATTCAAACACAAAATACCATCACGAGCAGTGAATAGCTGATCTCAATTAGAAAAGTAGTCAGAAAATCTATTGCTCACTTCATCATTCCAACATTTCCGTATAGCACTGAGTATTCATCCAAAGGATTGACGAGTTTCTCCAATCACATCTGGACGTCTCACCGCTAAAGGTTACACTAACAAATAGTCTGGAGTACTAACAGGCCTATCTTGTAATGACTGTGGAGATATGCAGTCAACATGTTGAACTTGTTTGACATTCCTGTGCTGAACAGTATAGTCATAGGCACTCTGAGCAATACTATACAGTCGTATCATAGCAGCTGAGGAACGTCCTAAGGATTTTTCAGGACGATGAATGAACTTTAAAGCCTCACGATCAGTAACAATAGTGAATTCCTTTCCGAATAAATATTTGTGAAGTCTTTCGACGGCCAAAAACACAGCTAGCACTTCTCTCTGAGATTGTGAATAACCTTGTTCAGTAGCAGTAAGTTTGTGTGAAACATGGATTACTGGTATATCTTCCTGCTCAAAACCTCACCAGTACCCACAGGTGATGCATCAGTAATAAACACAAAATGTGCACTAGAGTGAATAAGTTTAAAGAACAGCACTTCGAGGCCTGTCTATGCAGTTTGAGTATAAAAACCCTAACCCCTTGACCATCTGGTCCACCACTTTATTAAACTTCGATCTTCTGACTTTGAATCAAGTACACTACACATGATTAATCGGTAATTTCATGAGAGATTTTCTATCAGGTTACAAGCTCCTTTGCAAAGTTTTAATATAGCCCTACTTTGAGTTATGACTGTTATGACTGGTCGTCGCTAGGTACTTTGTCGGAATCGCTTATCACTTAGACTTATAAAATCAGGAACCACTGCAATTTCCACGACGCGAAGTAAGAACACCAATACTGGTACAAATGAAGACTTATTAACCCAAAAACACAACAACTCTAGTCTAGAATACACTCATTTATATATTGGTTGTACACTAATTAGAATGAAATGATATATAAGAAAAGTACTTAAAGTTGTGCTGAGCACGGTTCATGATAATTTAATACAAAAACATTGTATCTTGAACAGGCATCGCAATCAAATAAATTAATGTTATATCGAATAAACGTCACAGTGGAAAACAAATAAAATGCCACGCTGATTAAATATACTTCTGTCATATCCTAGTAGGTAGAAAAACTGTATTTCTGACGTTTTGTGGCTTTACATAGGCCACATTCTGTATAGATATAGCCTACATTTAGTCACAAAACGTAGGATGTACATTTTTTCTGGGATATAACAAAAATACATTTATAATTATCTTTCTACCCAGTTTATTTGAAACTATCAAGTTCAATCTTGGTTTTGGTACACATACTACACTGAGTAATTACCACATTCAATTGAGACGGGAGCAATGTTGAATAAACATCACATTAACTAAAAGAATCTTATTTCGCTTTTCAGTCCATTCATATCACCGACAAACTCTGCTGATTATCCGATTACTAAACCTGACTGTTTTTATATGATCATATCTGTGTTGGATGTGTACCTTGTTCATTATGTTTCTGTAACTTGCTTTTTAGTCTGACCATAAATATTGAGTAACGCCTGGATAAATTGATTTGGCTCACTCGCCTACTTTAGTTAGCAACATTTGGTTCCGCTAAGCCCTCTCCTGTTTGCCTCCTTCTCTGCGTTTCCTTGATTGTCCGTCCGGATCAACGACAACAAGAAATGCCTTCACTATGTATATATGACTCATACATATTGATATTTAGTTATCCTTCGCGCCTAATTGAGACCTTCATAGCATCACTCCAAACTACGACTGCACAAACACTTATTCTAACGTCATATCTGACTAATAATAAGTTATTTTTCTCATTGATTTTTTGTTTCATTTTCGTTACTAACTTGGTGATACATTCATAGTCGTTTATTATTGTTCTGTATTCATAAACACCCTTATTAAACTATTTGCGTACTTTATGTCACCTTTATTTCTATTCCCTTATTTTCTTCCTTTCCTTCTTTAAAGTCACTTTGACATTCTTCTCAATTACATGGAACCTGATTTATCAACATTATTGTATTATCATTGTTACGACCGAACTGCCAGTATTCGTCTTGAACGCAGGGTGTATTCGAATAGGCCAGACTACGCTAAACATTAAAAGAAACAGTCAATACGAAAGGATTCGATACCTGAGAATCAACAAACATATTCCCAACAAACGGGATTAAATATCTATCTGCAGGGATTCTAGAAATCCTCCCAAGAAGACAGTTAAAAAGTTAACAGTCACACACTGAATCACGCCGAGACCTTGAGGTTAGTCAAACACGACCTCACTGTCAATAGTCCGGCAACATGCAATTAAAAATTAGATAACAAAAAGATAAGTCTTTAATCAAAATCACACAATAAAGGCTCAAACGAGATCTGAACAAAGGTTAAAACATATGACAGAGAGAAGAAACAAATAAATGAAAATACTGTCCAACAAAAAAGGCTGTGGAGGGATTTTCATCGTTCTCTTTCTGCTACAATCATTGTTATCTTTCTTCTCTCATTCAAACGTGGCAAATATAGTGGTGACATTATTGAAACTTATGCATTATTACATTTCTGAAAAAACCCTAAATGATTTCTTCATAACACTTATGTACCCAAAAGATGGTTGTAAATAATAATAATGCATATCCAAAACGCATTCTCGTGTTTCAGTTATTTTGCTCCGTTGCTCAGTATCGTGGATTAAATCGATAATTGCACGCGAAGGTTGGCAGCACATATATTTTGATAACGGTCAGCATACGATTGCCTAAAATCAAACATAGGGCCACTAAACTATGCATTGATTTCCCTGACTATGAGGAGGCGTTTGACAGAGTGGATAGAACCTTAAGGAATTTTCTTCAACACTGTGTTGTGAGTAGATGAAAAGATCACCAACATCATCCGCAATTCATACGACCGACTACACTGCAAAGTCGTGCACTGGGGACAGTTTATAGAAGTATTTCAAATGAGGACCGGAGTCATACAAGGGTGCTCATTCTCACTATTTCTCTCTTCCAGTGGTTGACTAGATTCTAAAGGCCTCCAAATCTGATGGGAAGCACAGAATACAATGGACAGGTTGGAAGCAACTAGACGATTTGGAATCTGCAGATGATATAGCTCTTCTATTTCACGCACACCACCAAATGCACATGAAGACAACCAGTGTGACAGAAGCCTCTGCATCAGTAGGCCTCAACATATACGAGGGAAAAACCAGGGCAGTCAGATACGACACAAAGAACACTAACCCTATCACACTTCATGGAAAAACTCTGGAAAAGGTGGAAACTTTCATCTACCCGAATATCAGAATCACTGAAGAACAAGGAGGATTGGATGCAGAAGTAAAGGCGAGGATTGACAAATCGAAGACAACACTTACAGTTGAAGAACATATGGGACTCAAAACAACCGACTGCAAGCCTATGCTCCTCCATGAAGGGTAACAGGTGTACGTTTCGAGAAGTAATCCATGATATTAAGGTAGACACGAGTTGTCAAGAATGTATAACAACACTCCTACGAATAATTTCGATTATGGTTAACTTTTTCTGAAGACCTTTCATTAACTTGTTTAACAAACAATATTATTGGGACGATTCATCTGTTTCTTTGTACTATTATGATCACAACATGACTGTATAGACGTGTACTCTTGATCACATGTGACAGCCTACGCACATATCTCTCTCGGGCTGAAATATCAATCGATCAAATATCGCTTGATGAGTCATTCTCTATTTCATGTATATATATACTCCGATCCTATTATTAGCCTCTACCTTTCCTAGCTGCGCTTCATTCGATTTGACCATAAATTTGCCTCTGTATTCTCTCGCACACATATTCGGTTCGAATTCCCTCGAAGTGCCCATAGCTTTGTTATCCGTGCTATCTTCGAATAAACTATATTTGCCGCTTCTTATTGCCCTCTGACTTTAAACTCCAATGGGATTTATATAACAACGGTTATCAGGGTGATTGACTGAGGAAGCTAAGCCACTACAATTGTCACTCACGCAAAAAGAGCTAGCCGTATGTACATCACTCTAGACTGGAAATAAAACTTTCGTAGAATCGCTCGTATTCACATTCAACCACACCTTTTATATAATGAATTTTTACAGCTATCATTTTGGGGATTTCAGGTCATACTAGGTGATGCACTTAAAATCCTATCAACTGATAATTATGTAGAAAGGCACAAAGAATGGGTCTCTACTCACAGAATGCATTTTGAAGGACAAACTGAACGAGTAAAGGATACAATATAAGCTTTCTTCTATATATTCTCTTTCGCTTTTCACTATTCCATCCCCCAAAATTCCTCTAAGATAGCAAGGATCATCAAAGTTTAAATTTAAAAATACCTAGAATTTTGTTTCACCTTTGGGACGTTGACAAGACGAGATCAGTTGTTTTACCCTACAATATAATGGAAATACTTATTATTGGAAAATGTACACAGTATGATGATGTGCGTTACTTATGACTGTAATTATCAATTTACGACAACTAGAGGGTACTTGACCTCTAAAGGTCGTAACACTGAAGAACGTTTAGTTTTTAAATTCCACAATATATTCTGCGCAATTATAAGTCTATAACTGTCGTATTTTAACATTGCCGTAACATACATCTACCTCACTGAAAAGTTTGCAAAATAGGCACCTTCAAAAATCTTCAAGAAAGTATTTTCTCAGAATCTGGTAAGTTTTCAGCCTAAACAAAAGACAGTTTTAACGCCGGTAGATAAAGGCAGTAGTGTATACATCACCTTTAATTAAATAATGGGTCATTCGGATGATGCTTCGCTAAATTTACCTAACGTGTACAATAAATTCAAAGCTTGCACAAACGGCGATAACGTTCTGCTCCCTGAGTATTGTGAAGCATATACGGAGGTTTCCAAGTAAGCTGGATTTTGTCACATATTTTCAGACTTCTCGTATACTTTGGAAATCTTTTTTATTTCGTGACCAGTGATGTCAATCACAAAGTTTCGGAACTCCGTGACTTGTATGCGGCAGATAAAATTAATTATAAATCTGTCGAACAAATGGTTCTTTATGAGGAAAAGCAGAATGAACACCTTCCAGTTAAAAAGCGGAGATGCGTCGGGTCCCGAACACTTCTTCGACTCCATCGGGCTCTTCTCTTTGTGATTGATTTAATGCAAGATGTTTGCAGAGGCAAGTTACGGAGTTTTAAATTTATTGGTTCATATTATCAGGATAAGGGGGTTCCTCATCAGTTCACCTTGGCTAGCTGTAAATGATGTGGGATCTGCCACGAACTTGCGTCCGTTCAGTTTCCATCATCATGTATCACAGCAATTAAGTCCAAACCTCACGTGCGACTTCAGCAAGGAGTCACCAACCCTAAGACCTATGTTCCTTTTGCTCCGACTATCCTTATTTTCCTCAAGTCCAATTCTCATTTGTGCATATTTGAGCTGACGATACACTTGTATATGCAGAGTGGCCTATCCACCGTAATCAAATTTACAAAGCTGCTGAGATAACCAAGGTGTATTGACTTACTATTCATGCAAAAGTATTTGCAGGCTCCTGGCCATTTTACTACTTAGAGTTATGTCTTTAAGTCCGGAAAAAGAATACAACTCGGTCAAAAATGTTATACAGTTAGTTCCCTTTATGAATTTAAATAAAGCAAGAACAAATATTGATGCAGAATAGTATGAATTCATAATATTTCGGGGTTTGTCGTCAGCTTCTCACAACCAAATATGTGATAGAATTTTATTGGCGCTACGTATAGATTCCATAAGTATTATTAACAACAGGTTGTCTAACACAACTAGAACTTAAGTAGTGTTCAACACCTGTTCAAATCTGCAGGATTAAAATTTCACCAAAATCCATCTATACTTATCCACTCATTTGGTTTCTTTCAAGACCTTTTTATCTGATCAATACCTCAGATTCCATTTTTACAATTCTTCCGTGATTTATTATCATGTTTTTATAGACTTTTCGTTCAACAAAGTATTAACTCGTTAGTTTTGATTGTGCTAAGTACGAAACATATTAATGCACTCGAACTTATAGCAAACGCAGATGCTCTTAATGTAACATGCTAAAAAGCAGCATTAATAGTAATTTAGTAAACTATAGTTACATAAAACACTTTCGGTAGCTTTTAATCAATAAAATATGCTGCATACTTAAGTTAGAAACGTATACATAATTTCTTCTAAAGTAATAATTAACGTTAACTCGAATTTCGCTTTTTAGTGCAATTCAAGGTGTATTTGTTAAATTTTATAGCGCCACCGGATGAACAGTTGAAGGCTATTGCTCGATCAGCGTACGACAAAACCCTCGCTCAATATCATCCATGGCCTATTAGGAAAGCTGTTGGAGTTGCTGTTTATGCTCTTCCTACACGGGAACATTTGGTTCATCATATCGTCCAATCTCAACCCCCTGAGAGTGGTTTGCTTACAAATGAACAATGTGCAGAGTTTCTCACTTCACATGCTTTACCTGTAATGCGCAAGGTATATAACTGTATTCAAGCTATTTTCGAGAAACACGATATGCTAAATTTACCATAGTTATCTCGATGTATACTATTTCAGAACTTAGTATTTTTGTACTTCAAAAACAATACTCAAAAAGATAAGTCTTCCTTAAATAAATAAAAATAATTTTCGTAAGTAGAAATTATTTTGCTTTCGTTTTATGTTATATTTCTATATTCTTAATTTACGATACTATGTAGTTTCCAATAACAGCATATTAGTCTTTATAAATTGGTTAATTATAACACATCCTCACACATTTAAAAACCTCCATCATTTTTGTGATGTTTAAACGTTGATTCACATACCTTATTTACATTTTCAGCAGATTCTGGTTTGTTCTCTAGTTATTTTTCTTCAAAATATCTAAAACTACCTAGAAACAAATTCTGTTTTTCACTTAATTGTATTTATTGTATCATAAGTACAACTGTAGCAAAGCAGACAAATGTGTTTGTTGTATTTTTTATTATAATCAGAGTGGGGTTTGTAATTTTAATAGTTGGATTCAATGGTGCTCTACCTTACGTTGACTCATGAGTTCAACCATTTTTTATTACACTAGGATATGAAAAATCTCTCGAAAAAAAGTACTAGGATAAAAGTCGTTCGCGATAAACCTTTACCATGTTCACTTTTGCCACATTTCTCTGGTAATATAGACTTGGCAAATATAATGACATAAGAACAATGTGCCAAACCCCTGATTAAATTAATAATTCTAAAATATTTAAGGAAATTCCAATGTTCCGATTTGATATTTTATGACTGCACGTTGGAAGTGAAAATCCACCACTAAGAAAATACTCAAATGCTAATCAGTGGGTAAAACACTGAATAGTGATTTTTAGGTTACTCATTTAAACCAAACCCCATGTAAATGAAGTTAGGTAGTTCGCTGCTGAGGCAGAAGTTTTGGGACGTAAACGTAAGGAGTAATCTCGTTGAATCTTGTTTGCAATTACGTTGGTGTTTTTGAATCGCTTAACGAATTACAGTCTATAGAACTATGCATATTTAGAAACTTGTTAGAGTGTTCTATGCTTAACGAATCATTTATGTATTCTATTCTGTAAGTACTCTACTTATTGACTGATTCCTGACCGTTGTTGCTACCTTGACGTGGTGGTCGGGCTTGCCTATCGTGATGAAGCAACTGAGCTATACTGGCTGGAACAACCGTTCCTCAAGGTCCTACCATCCAAGACAGGTCGGTTGAAGAGCGGTAAGACTAAAAGCAACAAAACCAAGGTCCGAAGGCGAAGTCGTACTGATGACTGTACAGAGGTGTGACAGCAGTAAGGTGTTTCCTTCAGACAACCAGCATAACAGCGATGCTGCCTTCCCACAAGGAGGGGTGGTGTTAGAATAGGTCGACTCTAAGAATGCACACCTCGCCTTATCCCACGGATATCCGTCTCCGGCGGTAAGGTCTCAACAAGTACGGAGCTAACACAAAAATTACTCATAAAAAGGTTGTGTGTGACCGACCTCAAGCAGTTGTCCCTTGGGCACTGCAGTCACGCTCTCAGGTCACTATGACCACCTCTAATCCAATTTCCTTTTCAGGTACCTCCAGCAGAACCCTTCTACGTTGTGGGCAACCGGGAAGTGATAACCGCCCTCATACCCCTAACAGCACTCAAGACCACTGACTGACTGACTATTGACTGATAGTGTTTCACCTAATGGTATAAAGGACTTCAAATGCAAAGACCGAAATGCATGTGTTAATCGTTTTCTGAGTTAGTGATAACTAGGATTTTTGAAGTAAACATCCTGTGTGACTAGTCTATAGTTTGCCCTTAGTTTTTGTCCCTTCCACGGTGTGGGCAACCGGGAAGTGATAACCGCCCTCATACCCCTAACAGCACTCAAGACCACTGTATTCATAATCAACCTCCCTCTTCAATTCCTATTATTCCTCCTACATCGATTTTCAAATCTGAACTTCCTCTTTTGACTTCCTCCTCAAGTGTCACCACAGCCAACGATTCTAGTGCGCAAAACACTGTCCCAGGTCTACTGAAACCCGCTCCAAACTACACATTGGAGCCTTCAACGTACGCACACTATGCCAAATCGGTCAGCAGGCTTCCTTGGCTAAAACCCCTAGAATCACGTACTGTTGATGTATGATGTATCTCGGAAACACGCATACAGTTTCCTAGTGTGTTCATTCACTTGACCTCACCTCGGCGACACGGAGAGCCGACGAGATACACCCTCCGTGTATCTGGAGACCCGATGGCTAGTTCTCGTGGACTGGCAGTTGTAGGCATAGCACTAAGCATGAGGGCGAAACAAGCGTTATTAGAGTGGATCCCCGTTAAAAGTCGTCTATGCGCTGTTCGGCTAAACGGCTCGGTAAGAACTCGGAAGGATAGGGACACACGTCTTTGCCTTTATTTCGTTCCTGCCTACGCTCCCACTGACTGTAGCTCGGATGAAGTGAAGGATGAATTTTACAGAAAACTTTATGAACTTCCGAAAGCTAAACGTTCAGACATAGTTCTCATAGCAGGCGACTTTAATGCCCAGGTAGGCAGCTTAAACGAAACAGAAAGACATTAAGGTGGGTATTTTAGTATTCCGGCTCAGCGAACAAATAATGGTGATCGTCTGCTGCAACTGTGCTCAGACAACCGTTTATTTTTTAGCAAACAAATTTTAAGCATAAGGAGAGACACCGTCTAACATGGCGACCCCCTGCACCAAACCAACGATGGACTCAAATAAATCATATTGCCATCAGTCATCGTTGGAGAGGGTCGATAGAAGATTGTCGCTCATTCTGGAGTACCTGTTTGGACTCCGACCATGCCCTAATACGAGCACTCATCTGCTTGCGCCTCACTGGACGCAAAAAAGACTCATTAGAACCGAATTGAGTAATGAGAAAGCCAAGAGTAGGTCCCAAAAACAACTGAGGTCACACTTAGGTAATTCTGAAAACGAGGCTGACCCCGATGTTGATTGGAAAGACATACAAGCAGCTGTGGAAACAGCAGTGACATCTACTAGTGATTTAAACCAAAGGGTTACAAAGAACCAATGGATTTCTTCAAGGTCTATTGCACTGATAGATTCTCGTAAACTCATCCCATCAGGTTCTGAACACGATGAAGAGCGTAAACAAATCAGATCTAGGTTAAGCAAAAGTCTAAGGAACGATCGTGAGCAGTGGTGGACAACGAAAGCAAAAGAGATGGAAAAGGCGGCGGCTATAGGGAACACAAGACGACTCTATAGACTAATAAAAGAAACTGGAATTAAAAAGTCAAGTGTAAGTCAGACTATTTCGGAAAAAAACAGCACCCTCATCTGCTCCGAGTCCAGACGCTTAGAACGATGGGTGGAACACTTTAAGGAGCAGTTTAGCTGGCCTTCAGCTACTCTACATCTACCCAACATTCCCAGACAGTGTGAATGGAACATTGAAGTAGGTCCTCCAACTCTAGCTGAAGTTCAAATGGCTATAGCTAATCTGAAACGAGGAAGGGCAGCTGGTCCAGACGGATTGGTTCCAGAGGTCTTTAAGGATGGTGGTCTAGTTTTAGCGATTAGGTTGACTAATATTTTAGCTAAAATCTGGGAGTTAGACGTTATCCCATCTAACTGGTCACAATCACTTATCGTCCCAATATTTAAGATAGGGTCAAAATCATCCTGTGACAACCATAGAGGGATTAGTTTAACTAATATAGTATCTAAAATACTAGCTTCGATAATTTTCGGACGCCTAACTAAGACTCGTGAGCTGCAAACACGTGAAAATCAGGCTGGCTTCAGACCTGGTCGTGGCTGCATCGACCACATATTCACCATTCGTCAGGTTCTAGAACACAGGCATACTTATCGGCGTCCGACAATGGTGGTCTTCCTTGACTTAAAAGCAGCGTTTGACTCTGTAGACCGAGAGGTTCTGTGGCAGTGTTTGTCATTGAAAGGCGTACCTCAGAAGTACATAAACCTTGTGAAGGCTCTTTACTCGAACACTAGTAGTCGAGTCAGAGCCTATGGCGAACGGTCATCTGCTTTTGCAACCTCAAGTAATGTCCTGAAAGGCTGTCCATTTTTGTTTAACTTCGTCATAGATCTGCTAATGGAAATAACACTCTCATCGACTGAATTCTCGGGCATTGATCTCCTACCAGGAGGTCCACTTATTGACTTAGAATACGCAGATGACATAGTCCTGTTTGGTGAAGACGCTGATAAAATGCAGTCTTTTGGTAGCACTGAGCAACAATGCCAGAATGTTTGGGATGAGCTTCTCTCCCTCTAAATGCAAGTGGTTGCTTCAGGACTGGTCTGCGTCAACACCTGAACTAAGGATAGGGGGTGAAGTAGTCGAACGGGTTGACAACTTCACTTATCTTGGAAGTCTGATCAGCCCTAATGGGTTGGTGTCTGACGAAATCCCAGCACGGATTCGAAAATCTCGTTTGGCCTTTGCCAACTTACGTCATCTATGGCGAAGGCGAGATATCCGTCTATCAATTAAGGGACGAGTATACTGTGCGGCAGTTCGTTCCGTTCTACTATACAGCTGCGAAACATGGCCTTTAAGAGTAGAAGATACTCGTAAGTTATTAGTATTTGACCACAGGTGCCTTAGAAATATTGCGGGTATCTGCTGGGATTACCGGGTAAGTAATAGTGAGGTTAGACGCAGAGTATTAGGGAATGATGGTAAATCAGTTGATGAGGTTATGAATCTTCATCGACTGAGATTGTTGGGCCACGTGCTGCGTATGCCTGAACACCGATTACCACAACGCGCAATGCTAACCGGTGTTAGGGATGATTGGAAGAAAGTTAGGGGCGGCCAAACCAAAACGTGGCATCAGTGCTTGAAGACATTAACTTCTGGTCTGAGCCATGTTGATAGATTCAGACTGCCTGGTTGGGGTCCGCGAGACTGTCGTAACCAATGGTTGGAGACTCTTGGTGACATGGCCCAGAATCTATCACAATGGCGTCGGTGTATACACTCTCTGTCGCCCTTTAAATTAAGAGACTAAAATCACTTCAAATGTTTCTTTCTTCCTGTACTATCTTTTTATACACACTCTTTCTTCTATATATTACCACCACTGAGTTAACTACTTCTATGAATCCGGTGTTCATCTTGTTGTGCTAATGCGGTATGGCAACTTGAACCAATGCATATATGTGCCTGATCCTACGTTGCAGCTGACTGACTGACCTTAGCTTTTGTAGAATAATATGTTTATGAATTATTGAAAGAAGACCGTATGAGTAACACAGAACATGATTTAGTAGTTCTTCAGTTTGAGTGTTATTCTTTCCATTAGTGGTTTCGCTACCTTTATAACTTCAAGTTTCTGTTAATTTAATACTGGTGTATATGGAATTATTAGTTCTTTTATGACCACTTACTCAATTATATATGGATATAATGTAATGAAATACAAAGTTACC